AGAGTCTTATCCCATGATTAGAAGTTTACCTTTCCCCCATGGGTGATGATCCAGACTTGATCAAATGTTTGCTTATTTGTTATATTGGTTTAGATAGCCTTATGGTATTTGGGTTTCCTAACATTCTCATCCAAGGTGAGCCACCTCATATTAAGCAACCTCTTATGCCCTGGCATGCAGACAAGGACCAGGTATCAACTACATGGAAGCGGAGCTATAGGGGATAGCGGTTCTTCTCTGTCACAGCTGTGTCTCAATCACAAGAGACCTGATGGAGTTCTTGACTGACCAAACATGTCAAAATTTGCTCTGTTTTGGATATTGTGCAGTAAATCACTTACCATCCAAATGTGCTATTATTTATTACCTAGGCAAGAAAATGCAATCTAAGGCTTCAACCATATGTTGCAGTATGATTTTTATAATTCCCAACCAGTTAGTTAGATATAATATCCTAAAATATCTGAAGGACGTCAGATTGCTTATCTCTGAGTTAGAGATTGATTTGCAAATGGAAGAGCTCTATTCCTAGCCTGAGGGCTGGGAATCACAATTAAGCTATAGTCACCTACAGTATTAGTACCTGAACTAAGAAAAAGGCTTTCCAATATCCTTCAGCATGCTTTCTTGTTGCCACCAACCTTGAGCAATGAGATGGAGTAAAGAGGAGGCAACATAGAAATGGGAAGCTGAGGACAGTAGTTCTCTGATAATAAACTTCCGGGGGGGACGGGACTCCTCCTTCATTCTTGAAGGAATGGTATATTCCAGTTTACACTAAGAGTTCTTGCTGTGTTTTTAGTTTATTTATAGAATCTGAGCGAACCATATCTGCATATGTAATTACATTTTTATTGCTGTAATTATCTCTGACATAAAAGGCATTTAAAGGAGAAGCTGGAAGTACAATTGTTGGAGATATTTGGATGGATTTTGGATGTTTTACTGTTGACTGTTTCATACAATGCTGTGGGTTTGCATTGATTTGCTAGTATGTAGGGTAAATATGTGTGTGTATGTGTGTGTGTGTGTGTGTGTGTGTGTAGGTCTTTGGTTATTCGGGTTTTCTCTCGCGTAAAAGTGGAAGTGGCTTGGCGACGTTCCAACGAAGTATCATTCGTCATCTTCAGGCTGGTGTTTTCGGCTTTTAATGTGCTTCTAGAACATTGCTCCTAGAAGCACAAAGCCGAAAACACCAGCCTGAAGATGACGAATGAGACTTCATTGAAACGTCGCCAAGCCACTTCCAATTTTATGCGGGAGAAAACCCGAATAACCAAAGACCTACATACAAACACCTGTGAAAACCTCAGAAAACACACATACACACACACACACACACACACATATATAGTATGTTCTATATATATATATATATATATATATTCTGGACTATATATATATAGTCCAGAAGTGGTCTAATCAACAGTTGATAGATGTTGGATCCCCAATTCTATTGGAACAGCCATGTCTCAGGGACCACATATATCTTTTGCACTCCCATAATGTTGACTTCGTATGGATTGTACTATGAAAGAGCAGAGTGAGATTAGGCTCTTTCTCCCATTTCACTTTGCAGCTCTGATCTCTATCATGGCTGATTATCCCACTAACTTATATATTGTTTCAAAGCAAACTTTATAGTGACGGATAGTAAAACTAGAAATAAGAAATCGTGAACATGCAGCTGCAGGGTCCACTGGACAATTAAACTGTGGAATAATTCTGACCGTGCAAGTTTCTCATTAGGTTCTCCAAAGGCTTTTAGCACCTTTTGTAACTTATGCTGATTTTAGATTGATGGTTGCTTAATGTCTAGCACAGGCTTTCCAGGACTTCATGTGATTTCACCAAGTGAAGGAGAAAGGTTAAAAAGGGAGGAGAAATATACAGATCTAGCCTATTTCACTACTTGGATAGCGTTAAATATGTATCTATGTCAGAGGTGGGTTTCAGCAGGTTCTGACCAATTCTGGAGAACCAGTAGTGGAAATTTTGAGTAGTTCGGAGAACCAGTAATAAAAATTCTGACTGGCCCCGCCCCATTTATTCTCTGCCTCCCTAGTCCCAGCTGACTGGGAGAAAATGGGGATTTTGCACTAACCTTCCCTGAATTGGGGAGGAAATGGAGATTTTACAGTATACTTCCCCTGCCATGCCCACCAAGCCATGCCCACAGAACCAGTAGTAAAAATTTTTGAAATCCACCACTGATCTATGAACAGGAACAGAGAATAAAGCACCATCCAGTCCTGACTCTGTGCTTGCCTCGGGGGAAAAAAATTGATCCCAGTGAAATTACCTTAGATATTCACAAATATCTTGAAATTACATACTAAATCATCCATAATGGCCTTTTCTTTGTTAGTTTGCTGTCATATTTGTGTTTGTATAATTAAGGAGGGTTTATCATCTATTGTCATAATGAAATATATTTTATGTATTTAATGAAGATATTAAGATACATAAAATGAAATAGCATTTACAATATCAAGCTAAAATACATAACAATTACATAACTGAACTAATTTGCTCTATGCAAAAAAAACAAAAACAAAACACTAACAGGAATAGAAAGATATCAATTAATTTTGTCCAATTATTATTTCAGATGATTGAATGAACATTTGTCCTTCCTCTGTTTGCAAAGGGAAAGATTCTGTAATTACCTTGGAGTACAGAGAATGGACTGTACTCAAGTTAAGTACATTTTACACATTTTCATTTATTACAATCAAAGCTACAGACTGCAATCCTACACAAAGTTTCCTAAGACTAAATTTTGTTAAATGGCCTTAGTCCTTAGTAGACACGCATAGGATTGTAATAAGCAGCATATATTTAAGTTCTAATAAGGCAAATGAGATTTCAATGTAATTTTATGAACCAGTTTTAACTTACATTAAGATTTTTCTTCCACAGTTTTCATTATTTAACTTTGAATGAAAAGGATGGGATATAATTCAATAACAGAGCATCTGATTGATCTGCCAGAAGGCCAAATCTGGATCCAAGCATTATCAGAAAGGAGGATGAAATAGCAGGTCATTATTCAGACCCTGAAGAGGTATTGTGAGATCAGCAGAATCTGATATGCCGGTTCCCTACATTTTGCAAAACCCGTTGAGTGATTGCCTTTCACACTGAAATGTTTCTAATTCTTAATGAAAACTCAAGTCCTTATCCAGTTTGCTGTTTCTACTTATGATGATTATATGAATTTAAGAGTAGAATTTAAAGTAACAACTTTGTAACAAATGATTGTAACAAAAACAAATCTGATTTTCAGCATTTCAAATTTCATCTATTTTTAATACTTGTGTCGAGTATTAAAAAGTCATCATGTATCAAACTGAAATAATTTATGAGGGACACAGTTAGTGAGGAAGTAGGAATGGCTTACAACATTATTTGGAGCCAATTATCAAACTTAAAAGAGTCGCAGTGGCGCAGTGGTTAGAATGCAGTACTGCAAGCTACTTCTGCTGCCTGTCAGCTGCCTGAAATTTGGCAATTCAAATCTCACCGGGCTCAAGGGTGACTCAGCCTTCCATCCTTCCAAGGTGGGTAAAATGAGGACCCAGATTGTTGGGGGCAATAGGCTGACTCTGTAAACCACTTAGAGCGGGCTGTAAAGCACTGTAAAGTGGTATATAAGTCTAAATACTATTGCTATTGATAAATCATTATCCATTATCCCAACCACAGTTCCCACAACACCACCAACATCTTCCTCTTCAGAGAAATCAGTCCATTTTTCTTCAAGGCATGATAATAAATAATGATCAAGCTTTTACCTGATGGCAATTTACAAATATAGTTTGCTACTTGTTTTAGGAGTTTGAGATCATAATTGTTTCTTTGTGATGAAATGTGCAGGTGGACAAGGACTTGGGAGGCATCTCAGCAATTGCACCATGACTGTCAGGTGCAAAGATTCAGGAGCATTTGTGTAGATTGCAGCATAAATGATTTATTGAAGCCTATACACAAAAATCTGGTCAACTAATCGCCAGCACTAAATTAGTGCTAGATAAGGGTCAATGGAATTCAAAGAGGGCTGTTTTGGGGTTTCTTGTGGCAATGCAAGTATTCTAAACTAATGACATGTTTTAGTCCACCCTCAGTTCTGCCTGCTCTTTTCCTAAGGTGGCTTCCCAAGGAAGAGACAGCAGAAGTCCAAAATAAGAGACCATACAGTCCTGAACTGTATGGGGGAAGGAATAAAAAATTTATAGAAGCCCATATCTATTTGATTAGATGATTATAGTTTTAATTAGGTAAGATTTTTGTCTATTAGATGTATACAAAAAAAGAACAGGGCTCAATTGAATTTCAATGTGTTGTGTTGTTGTGGTCTGCCGGCAGTCCTGGAGTCTGGGGAAGGCTCAGATGAGGGCTCTGCATCAGAGGCAGAGAAAGGGCCATCTGGGAGGTACGTGCTGCCTCCGGAGCCTCCAGAGTCGGACCTCAGTGAGGCAGAGGAACAGGGGGAGCCTGTTCCCAGTGTGCGCATGCACAGAGCAGCCAGAAGGCAAGAACAGTTAAAACAAAAGGGACAACTCGGGAGTAGGGCTTGGAGATGATTGGCCCCTTCCATAAGACTTAAAAGAGGAGCAAAGGCATGTGGGCCTTTGCAGGAAGCAACATTGTTAATTCTGTTCAGTTTAAAGTCTGAAGCTCTGTTTGATACTGGACTCCATGTGGCTTTGCCAATTAGGCCTTTGGCAGCATGACAAGGGAGATAAAGGTGGGTTCTTATCCCAAAGAACTCTTTACAACTATTTGGGACTCATCTGTAAATGAACAGAATTCACTGCTGTTGCAATAAAAGAGGTTTTTAGGACTACTCGTGTGTTTTACTGACTCAGGAAGCCTAGGTCAGAACACGTCTTTGGGCTTAGGCCTGATATGTTTCATCTTTATTTTAAATCCTAGATGTGATTATGTTAAACCTGAAAGCCATATTGGACCACACTCTACACATACCTGCTACTTACCTGGGCATCGCTGTTCACTACACCGTCTAACCTCATCTCCGCTTCCTTCACACTGTTGCCCAGTAGTAGCTGCACCTTGGCATATCCTTATTCTCTTCTCCCAGCCACCATCACAAGACTTGGAACATCCACTCCAGTGGCCCCAGTGATTCCACTGACCATTAGCTGAAGAGAAAAAGATATATAATAGTTAGATACCACAACAGTAGCTATTACAAACAAACCCACTGAAATGGGTAAAGCAGCCATTTTAAAAAGACAGAACAAAATTACTTGAGAAAATATCCAGAATGGGCAGAAGCTAGCCAACGTTAAGCATATATTTCAGTTCAGTGGGAGAGAGAGAGAGAGTAATTTGCTTGAATCTAGCCAGTAAATAAACTTACATACAATATACTATTGTCCATATTGCCAGATCCATGAATCTGCCATTCTTCAGGGGAAGTGGGGGACATCCTTGGTTACTTTAATACTTTATTGTTTTCTCTCTTATGTATCCCATTTCCTGTAGTCTATTGATTTATAACCTTTAGCCTGGAGCCTAATGTCCTGGAATCTTCTCACCTTTTGAGGAATGTAAGGGGTGGGAGGGCCATGTGGGTTGTATCGTTCGAAAGATACGGCAGAGGATGACCTTGAGAAAGTTTTCTTATCACTTTCTCAGAGCAGCTGGTACAATAACATCTTCACACCTGCGGATTGGCTGAATACACAAAAGGAATTAGTGGGGTTTCTAATTCCTTTATTCTAATTATATTGCCTGAGGGCCCTCAAAGCCTGCTTTGATTTCGTCCTGCTATCACTCCTGTTCAATAAAAGGTTCCTTTTGAAATGCCAAGTTTCATGAGTTTTTACTTTCTTGAATAAGGAGGAAAGGCCGGACCTTACACATTGTAAGAGCAAAGAGAGGTGGCTATGGTTGAAAAAATACAGTAACTGGGAACAAATCCCACTGAATTCAGTAGAAATTGTTCCTAAATAGGCATGAATTGGATTGCACTGTAAAAATATATTGATGGCAGCCTCATTTTCACAGCATTATTGTAACATATAAATATGTAATATTTTAAATAATTGCCAGTTTTCATTTTTTTAAAATTTGATTTATATGCCGCAGCTATTGTAACGTAGTATAATACAAACCATTTATTTTTTTATATCCATCAATATGTCTTGTGTTCATCTGCTGTAAATTTCTCGATATATTTTTTATTAATACTACCAAATCAAACAAAAAAAGACTAGGAAAGAATATTTAGACTTTAATGATAGAAAAAAGGATTCTAATTTGCCACTTTGGCTTCAGTTTACAGAACAATTCTTATCAACTTAACTTTTCAAATATCACCCAAGGAATTCTCCCATTAAAAAAAAAAGCTTCATTTAATAAACAGTTTCTAATCCTTGGAAGAATTATGACTTTGCAGTAAAAAGCTATTCTTGAAATGTGTCATATGGTGGGTTTGTTTTTTTAAAATATCCTCAGTAGGAGGCAATTTCCATAGATTTTTGCCCTTCTTTTCAGTTCAGTTCTGAATAGCAGCTGCCCTTAATTGATAAATACTGAAATAATAAAATAAAATAATAAAATAAAATGTTAGCAAATCAATGGCACATTAAACTCCCCTAAAAGCAAGGGAAGCAATATTAAAAGTACTACTATTCGGAAGGCATTTAGCAATGCAATCTTAATCCCTGGAAGTTGATAGGGGGCCAATTAAGATGATGTTGTGCTGCCCTCTACCTGCCATTGCTAGCAGGAAAAATTGGTTTCTATATGGGGAAGGGGAGGTGCTGCTTGCAGTGATTGCCACCATGGCACCCAGACGTTTCCAGCAGTTTTTGCCAAGATGTCTTGTTGCTGAACAATGGGAAAACGTCATTTTTGAGAAATACCTGCTGCAGGCACGTCAATCAGCTAAAGACTCCCTTTCATCCACTGCTGGCATTATAACATTATAATGGAGCTGTCAATTGAAGGTTTCAGTCAGTTGAAGGTGTCCCCACCCAACTGAAGGTGACTGAGGAGGAGGAGCTTTGTCCTGGCATTCTTCACAACCTCACATAGGATTTTGTTTCGGTGCAGTTTTATGCTATTTACTTTAAAGCCATTATTTTCATATAAATGTCTGCATAACTGCAGCTGATAAAAAAGGTGATCCAGCTTATACCGATAAGATAATGAAGCTGACAGAAAGCAAGGGATGTTTTCTTTTCTGTGTCAAGGATGCCACACACTGCTGTAGTTCACCATGACCTCAGGACATCATGAAGCGTTGAAAGCAGAGGGCCAAATTCTTCACAGGCCCTTATAAATTCCACATCAGCGAATTCAAAATTATCCCCATCGATAGAGTGGCTTTTTCAGTTCGCTCCACCTCTTTTTGCAGTTTGAGGACATGGGTGATTTGCTTTACAAGCCACTCTCTGCTTTCAAAGGAACCAATACCCATCCAAAGATCACTTTTCACATTGCTTAGGTCAACATATATTATTCAGAGCAGCACATAAACAAGACTGTGAGGACCGACGCTAGAGAATTTTGTTTTGCCTGCATTTTTAAGCAAACTGACATGATCTCAGACTAATGTTTTCCCTTTGGATTAAGCATCTTTGTTATGAATTACAGATCTCACAGTGAATGTTTTAAATCTGGGTATTTGGGGAGGAAATATAGATAAAAATAGATATTATTGGGTAGAATACTTAAAAAAATATGTTTAGAATAACAATCATTATAAAACCATCGTTTAAATAGCAATAGCACTTAGACTTATATATTGCTCCATAAAGCCCTCTCTAAGTGGTTGACAGAGTCAGCATATTGCCCCCAACAATCTGGGTCTTCATTTTACCGACCTTGGAAGAATGGAAGGCTGAGTCAACTTTGAGCCTGATGAGAATTGAACTCCTGGCAGTTGGCAGAGTTAGCCTGCAATACTGCATTCTAACCACTGTGCTACCACAGCTCTTAAATGTAAATTATTATTAAATTAAAGGAAATGTAAGTTCTTATGCAGTTTCATATAAAAATCTTGCAGATTATCACAGAATTAAGGTGCATCTGTTGCTTGAACTTGCACTATCTGACACAGTTCCAAATTAACCTTCTCTGTCCTTGGTAGTGACAATTGGAAAGCAGGCTTAAAAGGAAGCTGCTGCTACTGCCTTTACTGCTCTGCCCATCTTCAGTTTTTAAGTGTGATCATAACCTGACAAGTTACTATGAGCTGACATGAATACATTTATAACTAGACTGGAAGATGAAAAAAACAAGGCTGTAAAAGCAATAGTTGTAATCCCCAGATGTTTCCTCTATCCAGTCTTTTGTACTGATCCTTCTCCTAGTGCTAGTGAGAGAGAGGAAAAATTCAACTCAGACTTGCCAAAAAGCACATAAATAAGAGAAGACAGTGAAAGAAAAGGAGAGAGCTGGCATAGATCCCTCTCCTTTGGGGATTTCATATATTGCATTCCTCAAATCCCCCTTCTTTCCTCCTTACATATTATGGAGTGATCCAAATGTGCTTAATTCCCTCTGCTCCAACCAGGCTGCTCCTTCTATACTTCCTTTAATAAACTGACAATCCTAAAAACTCAAACAAGAGGATTTACTACAAATAAAAGCATCGGAATAAAAGCAACTGGCAAAATGCTTCCTTTTCTTATAGGTAAGATTCTGGAAGCCTAGCTTTGTGCTGAAGTTAAATCTGCAGCAAGGAAATTCAGGTCAGGTATATGTGCAATTTTGAAAGTAAAAAAAAAAAAGTAAAAAAACTATGTAGAAAGTGGTGGAGGAAGAGGGAGAGAGATAGTAAGTGCTAGTAAAATATAAATGTATTGCTATAACATGTCTCAAATTAACTAGTCTAGCCAAGAATTCTTTATCTACTAAACTTATTATAAACTGTTCAGCAAAGATATTTTGGAATTAAATGTTTTTTACCTCAGCCAAAACCAGAAATCACATAATCAAAATGGAATTTATTAGCTTGACTGGCATAAGACTTGTTGCAAATTTAAAGTAAAAGAAACTGAACTGGAGCTACATGAAGTTATTCATAATGCAAACAAGTTAATTAAAAAAGATAGATTACATGTACATTGTATGGAGAATATGAAGTATTTGAAGCAGATGAATTTTAAAAATAAAACGAAGGGAAACAAAATAAACAGAAATCTTAACTAACTAGGTTGCTAGAATTAGGAGAAGGAAAATTATTTTGACAATATTGGAAATATTTAGCAAAATGCAACTATTAAAATTTTTAAATTATGGTAATTTAAAATTTGCATTTCTCATCTCCTTTGCTTATTATGCAATAATTCTTTTAAAGACTAATTAAAAGCTGCCAGTCTCCAGGATTAAGAGACATTCCAGAAAGAGCATTTAAAGTTTCTGAAATTTGTAATACTGAGCCATTCTTCAGTAATATACTGTCATTACAAAATTGATTCCCTTAACAGATTAAACTTCAGCCCACATTTCTTCTTGGACAAGTATGATTGCATGTAGAAAACAAGGGTTGCTTAAATATACCTTTCATTTTTTCATATTCTTTTTCTTTTTATAAAAGTCTGCTCTATAAATATATAGGAGTAGCCTTCAATAACCCAAGAAGTGGTAAATAGAATTTCTTCCTATACATTTCTTTTTTAAAAAATCAGTCTTTATCTCATGCAGAAGATGATTTTGAAGCTGCTATAAACAACATTAAACTGTAAAGAAGCAATAACAAAAAGGATGCAGCTTATATATGGGAAAAGGGAAAAAGGGAAATCTCCCTTAAATTTAACCTGGTGACAACAAGGACATATCCATGTTGTTGGGTTGGCAACAATATGGAGGAGGTTTACTCTGTGTTCCTCTTGGATTTCTTTTCTTCCCCAAATTCTCAGTCCGGTCTACAGTCCTAGGGTGATAGCCTCCCATTCAAAACCTTAATCAAGTCAGACCTTGACCTTCCTCATGGTTAGTCAAGGCCAGCTTGGTGCTGCTCCCTGCTATAAATTAGTCTTAATAAATCACTTAGAGCTTTAGAAGACCAGAGTTTTTCAAGTATGCCCAAAGGAGGACGAAGAGCCAATACAACCACTTTAACTTTGATGATATATATGTTTTCAGCACTGCAGAGTTAGCCAGCCTAATCATTGTTGGGAGTTGTACAGTAGTAATTTTTTGATTGCATTTTTTAAATTTCTTCAAAGTAAACTAAACAAGATATTAACAATGTATTAACTAGTTTAAAGTAATCTAAACAAGATGTCATCTGACGGATAACTATACCAAGATATCTCTGTCCACAAGGTTTTGCAGCAGATGCATATTTGATATCTCAAACTGCAGTCTATTCAAAATGAGGCATTGCATTATTATGGATCTTGTTGAAGCATTCTTAAATTCAGGCCCTATAACTTGTCATTCCCCCTTCCATTATTTTAACACTGCTATTCATTCATTCATTCATTCATTCATTCATTCATTCATTCACTCACTCACTCATTCATTCATTCATTCATTCATTCATTCATTCATTCATTTCTGTCCCACCTTTATTATTCTTACAAATAACTCAAGCTGGTGAACACATCCAACATAGCTTCTTCTTCCTATTTGCCCCACAACAATAACCCTGTGAGGTGAGTTGGGCTGAGAAAGAATAATTTTATGTTTATTATTTCCCCTCCCCCGGTATTCTAAAAATGAATGCAAATGAGCAGAAGGAGAAAAAAATGATGTTGCCATGTATTAAACATGAAGCAACTTCTTTTAGCCAAGGATGGTAAGAATGGTATATTAGACTACAGGAGCAGAAGACCAAGTTCAATTTCCTAGAAGATCACAGGTTAGAAATTGCTCAAAAGCATACTAGATAATCTTGTCCCCCCCCCAAGAACATCTCTCGTACCCGTACCACCCCCCCCAACAATATCTCTCAGCCTCTTTGGCATCCCAGACTGTTAAGAGAATAAAGAAGAATAGCCAATCTTTTCCCACCACCATATAAGAAGGGACTGAGAGAATGTAATGTACCTGTACATTCAGAGTTGTAACATTCCCTGCTTTCTGCCCATGGACCTCTGCACTCAGAGCCTCCGTGTGCTGCTGCTGTACATTGTCGACTTCGCTGCTGCGTGCCATTGGAGCAAGTCACCGAGCACTGACTCCAAGTACTCCACTCTTGCCACTGTCCATCAACTATTGCAACAGAGCAAAATAGAAATGAAATCCATTTGCCTTATAGGGCCCAGAGATTTTTCTTCTTTGAGTATAACTTGTTCATTTTAGATTTACATTTGGAATTGAGCACAGAAGGGATTTTTTGTATCGTGAGTTTAATGTTTATTCATATTTATTGTTGATAATGATAACTTTGTTCTAGATCAGGGATCCCCAACCCCTGGTCCATGGACTGGCACCATTCCGCAGCATGCCAGCAAATGAACAAGCAAAGCTCCATTCGCAGGATGCAGGCAGCATGTGAAACCACGTATCCTCTGGTCCGCAGAAAAACCTCTCCCCATAGAATCAGTCCCTGGTGCCAAAAAGGTTGGGGGCCGCTGTTCTAGATAATTTAATTCATAACCTATAAAGAGTACAGATAATCTCCAGGGTTTAGAATGCCCTGTTTACCGATAGCCCATAATTAAGAACGGAACTTATCATAGCAAAATTCGAGTTAAATACACAATACTTCGGGCTAAATACACAATGGTTCGAGTTCATTACACAATACTACTTGTATAGTACTATGCAATAATATTGTCCCAGTTTCCCTACAAATGCAATTTAAGAGCAGACCCTGGGACTGGAACTCATTCCTAAACTAGCACTACATACAATCACTTAACATTTTCCAGCCTCTACTTCATTTAGATGCTACTTTTGGTTTCTGATAATTGTGGTGTCCTATAGGTGTAGGAGTCCTTTCTTATTCACTTCTTGTCAGAAGCGATAGCCAAGTATCTCTTCAGAGGGATGGGCTATGTTTTAGATTTAATTCAGAAGACAAGCTTTACAAAGTCCAGGATTGTGAATACAGCATCTATTTGAGACTTATTAAAGACATCATATCTGTTTTCACAGGCAGTTGCTTTGTTCATGCTCCCTCTTGTTCTATAGTATCTCTTCTGAACCTAAACTTGTGCCTTGCAATTTATAACTTCCCCTTCAACAATTATATTCCAGATTGACAAGTAAATGGGATGCTCTGTGTGAAGCAGACTACACTACCCAACACCAATGAAAGAGCCAGCAGAGGCATCAAGAGTATATTTTAAATATGACAAGCAAACAATTGCTTGTTCCCCAGCTCCCTATATGAAGAGCCTCTGTCACAACGAGCTACACATCTACTTAAGCATAGGGTAGGTACTGTCTCATACCAAAAATTTGATTTATGGCAAGGGGCCAAAATAGATTTACTCAGGGATTTAATCAGTGGCACTTGATGTTGCCACTGATTAAATCCCTAAGTAAATCTATTTTGGCTCCTTGCCATAAATCAAGTCTTTGGTATGAAGCATATAGCTTAAGGAGTACCTCTAAGCAATTCTGGAGCATTTTAAATTTTTTGTTCCAAATGAAGTATGTATGAAGCATGTCACTGATCCCTATTGGACAAAAGTAAGATGCTCTTTCAGGTGCAATAAGGCAAAATATGATTAGATGGCCAGAAGGTATATTTGTACTACAATTTCAAATGCCATTTCCATTAAGAAATATGACATGGGAACAAGTTAAAATGTGGTATTTACTCAAAGATATAAAATATTTGCACTTTATCCAAATACTAAGCTCCTTCCTCATTTATGTTAATAATGGAGGCTTAAGTGGTTGGACATAATAACTCTGGATAAGTGGAAAGGCTCAGGCAGTTTACACAGTATTATTCTGAAAAGAAAACTATGAGAAACACAGACAGACCATATAGTGGTAAGATAAGTCCCAATCTCTGGTTTGTGCATTTTCATTATAAAATTATAGAAAACAATAGTAACTATGTGAATGCAGGCTTCTATTTTCAATTAAGAAAGTCTCCCAAATAACCAAGACTGTAGACATTTATGGTGACGTAAGTACTACTTTCACTGACTAGAAAACTAAAAAGAAAACCTGTCTAAATGGATGTATCTATTAAGTCTATTTTGCAGCTTTATACAAAGGTGACATCTTATAAACATCAGCTGTCATTTATTCCTAGTTCAATGCCATTGCGGAATGATATTACAAGAAAGGTGACAAGCTAAGTAATGAACTCAGAACATAACATTATTTATGAGATATGATTATACTTTGAGAAATCGGTTGAAATGAATAATTAATGGGCCACCCAACATTTCTTGATACTGTAGGCTTGTACTACATTGTTCTCTTTATACTTTATTTGTAGTCTCCTTATGTTATGTCTGTTAAATGGTTATGGCAGTGCTCTATCACATGATATTTTTAAGCTAAAGGGATTGTTGCTACCAATGCTTAATAGTATTAACTACTTAAAATACATTGTTTCAAGAGCACTCTTATAAATATCTCCTTTACTTTGTTTTGCTCTGTTTTCCTTCAGGGAAAATCACTGGAGCAGTAAAACACAGAGATGAGATTTTCTCCCTAATAGCTCATACCAAAAACTCATACCATACTGCGATGCATATATGGATATAACTAACCATCTTACTCATCAGTACATCAGTATTCAGAATTGTCATAGATTTCACTTAAATAATCATTTAATTTGAATCCCTTCAGAAGGTTTATCTGCTTCCATTTCAGTAACATGCCTCACATCCAAACACATTGAACGCTGCAACTGAATAATATTTAATGCACACTAAATGGATTAACATATAGATTATTGATAATATCTGATACAAATAGACTAATGCAGATTTTTAAAATAATGTTAGAATGAAAAGTATGCCTGGAGAATACACTGGGTAGTATGAAAAAAGAGATGTTCCTTACCTGACCATTTTTAAAATGGTCGTTATTGGTATTGGATTCAGCATCATCTACTTAATCTTACTTTTTGCCCCAAAAGCAACCACAATGTTTCTGTTATAAATAGCAATAGCAATAGCACTTAGACTTATATACTGCTTTACAGTGCTTTACAGTCCTCTCTAAGCATTGTACAGAGTCAGCATATTGCCCCTTACAATTTGGGTCCTCATTTTATCCACCTCGGAAGGATGGAAGGCTGAGTCAACCTTGAGCCTGGTGAGATTTGTACCTCCAAATTGCAGGCAGCCAGCAGTCAGTGGAAGTAGCCTGCAGTACTGCACTCTAACCAGTGCGCTCTAATCTAATTAATTTATTAATAAATCTATATATTATTAATTAATCTAAGATCCAAGAGGGACTTTGTGCAAAACTATAGGCATTTCTGACTTCGATGGAAATTCTGTTATATGTTATTTTATAAATTGCTCAAAAGTATTTCTGCCATTCCACTACCCAACAGTCCTCCCCATGCATACACTAGCTGCATTCACAATACGTGGTTAGCTGAACCATGGCTTACTGAAGGCACCAAACTGAGCAGGTTTACTAAACAAATTAGCTATTCACATTTTAGTCTTTCTATTCAGGGAAGCAGAGGAGTCACTGGAAGACCTGGAAAGAGCTGCCTTTCTGACAATAGCATCTTTTTACACAGGGGATTGTTGCTGGATTAAAAAGCCATTCTTGTTCCGAGTTTTCATTTTTCATTCATATACCATGGATCCCTTTAGTCTTTTTGGAGAGCATTTAATGCCTAGCTATCTTCCTTCTCCAAGGATGGATTTGTATTGATTTGGGACAAGGGATCTGGTGGAAGCTGATAAAAGCCTTGACATTTGTGTCCTTCGAGTCTCAATTTGAGTTCTTGCTGTGCCTTCCCAAGGATTGCCGAGCATGTGATTTTAAGGTCTAAGAAGCAGAAATGGTTTTCAGGACAAAGATAAGGTTGCTTGCCCAATTCTAACCATACGTATTAATTAATTCTCCAGTTTACTCCAGTAATGAAGCCTTCATGCAGTTTTTAGGCTGTTAAGTGTAGAAAATGACAAAAGCAGGCCACAGGGGAAGGGAGAGAGAGGGAGGGAGGGAGGGAAGGAGGGAGGGAGAGGAGAGAGACCCCTCATAAGCAAAAACAGTCTTTCTATGCATGCTCACCAGGGCACAGAGCAATATTGCAAGGCTTATGCTGTGTCTCAGGTCCATCACACGATCTTCCCCCATACTGAGGAGGTATACATGACCTTGTCCTAGTTCTTTGGCCTCGACCACATGTGAATGAGCACAAACTCCAAGGTGACCATTCCTCCCAAACTCCATGTACTGTAATAAAGCAAAGAGGCTTTAAGAAGGAAAGAACACCAGTAACAAAATGATTCAAAACAAACAGAGGAAATGATAAGAGGCATTACATGGCCAACGTCAAAGAGAGAAAGAATAGCAATCCCACTGTTTACAAATAGCGATTAATGGATTTTAGAGCGCACGCTAGTACTGGATAGAAGAAAGCTCTCTTGAACACTGATCGTTAAGCCAACTCAGGACTCCAGAGTTAATGTTATCCAAAGGAAATCCAATTTAATATACTTTGGAATGTATAGGTTTGAAATATGGACACAGTCATAGCCTCTGGATCTAGTCTAGAGAGCTATGAGAATCCTAGAAAATCAACAACTTCTTCATAAATGCTATTAACTTTAATAAATTTCAATGAAGACAGCAGATCTACACGCTAAAGTAATTCTAGACACATAATCGAGTTTTCCTCTAGAAAGGAATGTATCAATATTATCATTAAACAGCTTCAAGGATGTGGTGTTTCACCTTAGGTTTGAAATAGATTAATGACACATAACTTCTACTAATGACTAGGAATAAATAAATGGTAATATTCATATATAAGTACTCTTAGAACAATAACACTTAGTAACACAGGCTTCTTTAATATAGCCTTAATAGTCATCTCATATTATAAAACCATAATGACATAATGTGTATTTGGTAACAGTATGTTGAACAGTACAGCAAATCATCAGGTAGATGGATGAGCCTGAAATTTACCCCATCAAGTGTTTCATCTTAATATAAATGTGAACTAATTGATCTTTGACTAGGCTATGCAAAATGGAAGGAATGCTTATTTATTTATTTATTAATGTATGACACTTTTCAAAACTGGGTTTTTCCAGCCAAAATAAAATGCTTCAAAAACGCAGATGACAATACAATTAATGTTCTTTCTTTATTTTGTAAAAGTTCAAAGCATGACCAAGATGTGCCATAAAATAGTCCTAAACTAGTTCTACTCTAAGGTATTACTTTATGATAAAAAGGTCATCTATTTATCAATCTTAAATTATAAATTATATTCTTATTTCCAGCTTCAACACTAAATTTCATTTGCTTGTGTTCATATACAAATGGCACATTTATTCCTCGATTGCTGATATTTCTATTTTGCTCCAAATAGTTCTGAGAATTTGTATTATGAAACCAATTAACATAGCCAAAAGAAGTCACCAGTAAGTCCAATTATAATGGGACAAATATCAGGTCTCAGCAAGAAATAGATATATACCTGGTTTGCACTCTTTCAAAATGCAGGGAAAAAGCTCAAGAGTGAATGCCACAACAAAAATGTTGTTCAGATGTTGAAAGTATTTTTCTCTCCAACTTAGCAGTTTTCTAAATCCACGAGTTTTAGTCAATAGGCAGGAGTGTCCTATATTGTAAAGCTTCATGTACATGCTTTTGATTGATTGATTGATTGATTATGTTATACTATACTATAATACTGATTTATCATATTCTGCTAAAAAGGAACAAAAAGTTTGATTAAAATGTCAGCTACCCATTTAGCATTATGCTTTCTTTTTATTGTAGTTAAACTATAAATGAAACAGAAGTTCTGAGTTCTATTTGGAGCCAATCAAGAGAAGCACGACAAAGGTGCTTGAAGCTAGTTGTTCAAACTTCAACAGAAGTATAGGCTAATGCAATTTAGGTGGAACAACAAGATCTTTTTTGCTAGCCCTGGACCTGTCAGGCAGTCTTTGTCTATTAGCAATAAAGTATAACTGATAGCTTTCCAGATAAAGTTCAGGATGCCCGCAGCTGATCAATAGGAACATCAGCCGAAAAATATATGTGTGGGAATAAACCAACATAATAGTAGTTATTGAGTTTATTTTCCTACTCAATAAATGGACTTGAGTTACCTCCAGCCATAAATTCTGGAGACTTTAGTATTTTATTATTGTTTTCTCTGAATTATACCTTGAAAAACATGGTGCTCATGTCACTAGACATATGTAAATGAGCAGAGAATGTAAAATACTACCCTATTGTATACTTTCATGGGCGTGCTTTTCAGTTCTAAGTTCAGATGTCTCAATATCTCCAGACAAAATCTTTCTTCTTTTAACCTAGTGCATTTATTCTCTCCATAACTGGTTTCATTCACTCTGAGGAAAATAAGGAATTTATTGTTGTTCTAATAAGTTCAATAAACACAATCAGGTTTGAGCATGAATGAAGCTGGTTTGCCATTAAGTGTACTAATCTCATTAATACTTTTTTTTTCAAAGGCATGATTACATATTTGGCTTTCAAATAATGATTTAGATACTCAGTAAATGAAATAATGAACTTCATAATTATCTCTCCAGCCATTTGAAATCCTTTAGTCTCTATAAAATATGTTGGCATTTATTTTAAGTATTCAGTTCTAAAAACTATTGCATCAGCTCTGCCAAGGATTCCATTTTCCTGAATGAAAAGCAGCAATTCAGCCTTTCTTTTTTTTTTAAAAAAATATTGCAGCTATAAAAGTTGGTCTAACTCAATTCTACAATCAGACAAGATACAGAATTTTTTTTTAGCAAAGTGGAGCTCCAATTTCAAGCAAAGAGGGCACAAAGTTTTTGCTGAAAATATGTTATGCAATAGGAGGAGGAAATACCAAATTTATATCCCTCTTCTGATTGGATTATCTCAAGCATTTTAACAATAATTGCAAAGTTAAGACTGGTATAACTCATAAGATTAAAAAGTGGCTAGGAGGGATTAACAATTGAAGAGCCAAAAGGATATGGGATACTTCCTACTGCAAGCATTCATCATTTCTTGTGATGCTTTTAAATGATATTGTGAAAGATCTATTTGTCCCAGAGTCACTGTAAATCAACAATATCTTCCTTTTTAATTGATTTTCATTTCAATTTACCAATGTATGCTCAACTGCATGGACAGTTTTTCCTATATGGAGAAAAGCCATTTAGAGACTGTGACAAATCTAAGAGCATGGAAGCTCTCTTTCCAACCTCATGTATGAAGTCCCTCCATCGCGGTAACTTCAAGCAATACATTTGATTTAATCTGGAGAGTAATGTTATAAAGAAATTTCAGGTTTTTATTGCGTACCAAACCCCTATTTAATTAGCATTAGCCATTATTGAGTTTGGTGTGACATAAACCATGGTTAACTGAGAGGTTGAAATTTGTAGAAGTTTGTAATAATTAGCTATAATTCACTTATTTAAACATCTACATTAGTCCCATTTCTCATATGCATTTTTTTCCCTTTCTCATAAACAATAGGAAACTCAGCAGAAACAGCAGATGAAAATCTGGATTCCTTCAGATTTCTTCCCCAATATTCTATGCAAACATGCAGGACCATAGGCAATTTTAAAAAATCAATTTATGTCACTCACTTCTATATCAGAATGCAACCTCTTCAAGTAGTTTTCACTTAATTTAATCATACTTACTTTGGAATTAACATGTATAGGATTGCACAAGAGGTATGTATACAAAGCAGCTCAGACTCCAAATAGCTCAAGTCTGAGGTATGTGAATTTTAGGTTTTACGTGCCCCAGTTTGCTTGGAGCACAAAACAAAATGCAAGTGTTTCAACTCTACCATGCTGTTTCAAGCAAAGTCACTGGAAGTTGTCTTGCCTGCAGTGGTCTATTGGAGAGATATCTTTTGAACTGGTTTTCCTGGACCAGGGGTGATCATTCCACTCTTGCAATTTGCTTAAAATGAGGGGAGTGAGCTGTGAGTGAAGCTTTGCAGGGAAGCAGCAGGCATCCCAAAGAATGAACTCATGAGCACCATGCTTCGTGAATCCACCTATTTCTCCTCTTGTAATACCTTGACTGCCTAGCTACAAAGTAAGCACTGCTTTCTTGGGGGTGGGGAGTGGCAGAGTACATTGCTATATGGATGTTGGGAGTTTTGTGCATGTGTGAAGAACATACAGGAACATACAAAACAGAAAGAAAATACTAACACTGGACAGCATTGTTTTGATTAGTCTCCTGGGCTGAAGAATGTGAATAGTGTGTGTGTACACACACTCTTCATGTTGACCTTTGTTGATTTTGAAATTTAGGATGCCTTTCTTACAATGCAGTGAATCTTCATCTTCAAAAGCACACTTCATCTTCGAATAACAGGTGAAAAACTTCTGAAAACTCCACCACAAGACAAAACAATATGCAGAGAGTGCGCTTACATACCTAAGCTTAGGGATGTTTTGGTAGGCTGTTAAACACTGGCTTTTTGTGTGTGTGTGTTTCTAATTTTGAAACATTTGAAAAAGTTTTTTTTAAAAAAGGAGTAATTCTAGCTGGCTGATTTGCTGAATTTTTAGAATCCATCATTGCACTATGCTACATTTTCGGCCTTTCGATTGTAGAGACTTTAAAATGTAGGGTTTTGAAATGCAAAGGACTGTTGATTCGGTGCCTCAGCTAATGTGGGGAACATACTCCATCCATATCTTATGAATTATTTTGCAAAGGCATGGCTGAGCTTGTTGCTTTGACTCATGTAAGGACTCTTTCTTCTGACCCTTTAGCATTTCACGGGTAAAAAGAAGAGCTATTTTGTCACCAAGTTTTGTGCATGACTCATGGTTATTCTTTGATTCTCTTTGATTCCTGATTACTGAAGGTATAAATGTAATTTGCAATTATGAAGTAAAAGCTGGCAGTTGGACAGGGAGGAATTTTTTAAAATATATTTTACAGGATGGGCTACACTCTTGAGCAATAGTCCTTCCTTCCTTCCTTCCTTCCTTCCTTCCTTCCTTCCTTCCTTCCTTTCCTCCCTCCCTCCCTCCCTCCCTCTTCTTATTTATTTATTTATTTATTTATTAATCAAATTTCTATACCGCCCTACTCCCGAAGGACTCAGGGCGGTGAACAGCCAAGATAAAATACAGATAATACAAATATTAAAAAATCCCTTAAAATTATTAAATATTTCGGCCGAAACACAGATTAAAACACCCAATTTATAAAATCACATTCTTCATGAATAGGAATGAATGTTTGCCATTCCTATCAAGTGAGACATGTAAAATAGGATTAGAATTTTAAAAGGATTATTTTAAAACTTTTTTTAAAAAAAGAAACTGTGTGAATATGGTTAGATTGTTTTGTTTTGTTTCTTCCTGGATGTCCTTCTGCCCTAGAGATCCTTTAAAGGGAATTGAATATTAATGGGTAAATTACAAGCAGGTTTCAAGATTATTAAACAAATCTTAACAAAACATATGAAAATGGAAGACCAAAAAGTACTATGAATTAAATGGGTTTTAAATTGAGAAGAAGGTAAAATATTTGCCATATCAGTGTGGCAAATATGAATTATATGTCATTTCAGATAACTATGTTAAAGAATGGAATTAAGTTTAAAAAGTTTGTTAAAATGGGAAAAACTTCATCATTGCTCAGGGGAATTTCCTCTCATTAAAATGGAAGTTTTGTCTAGAATGTGTTTTGATGTTTTATGTGTTTTGATAACTGATGCACCATTTAAACAGTGGCAAAAGAATGTATCTAAATGTATGTGGCAGGAGAAAAAAAGCATGAGTTAAATATAAGGTATTACAAGATGCAAAGAAAAGGAGAAGACTGGATTTATCTGATTTAAAATAGTATTTTGTAGCTTGCTATTTGGTTTGGATGAAACAGTGGGTATAGCTAAGAAATAGAAGACTTTGGAATTAGAAGGACATGGCCCAATATTTGGCTGGCATGGACATTTCTGACACAACAAAGTCAAGGTTAATATGGATTTTAAAAATGATTATGTTAGGTGTTCCATATGGAGAATATGGAATAGACACAAATCTAGTTTGTGCCCGAAAACACCTCTGTGGGTCTCAGCATAAGGAGCATTTTAAAGACCAGAAAAAATAGGAATATATGCCTAACATTGTGAGAATTTTGTCAAAGGGAATATCAAATAAAATCAAGAGAAGAACTGATGGAAGAGGGATATAGTTGCCAATGGTTCTTTTATTTATAATTATTAGAAAGATTTAAAGTAGACAATGAATTCATGGTTTCAACACTGTAAGATTGAGTTTGAGATAAAGTTGCGTATAAATGATGGACATGTAACTGCTAAAATATATAATTTTTTGTAGAAACTGAAATAGAAAAACAAGTAAAATATGTATGATAAAGTAGGTTAAAATTTTGAGTACAATAAACAGATAGAACAATGGGAAAATATAGGATTAAAATTTATATTATGTTATAATTTAAAGATAATTTTTATAAAATGATGTACCATTGTTTAAAATATAAAAAGCCATTTCAAATTTAAATTGGAAATGTGAGCAACAAGAAGTAATATTTTATCTTGTTTGATGGACATGTTAAAAGCGAGAAAATTCTGGATGTAAATACATACACTGATTCAGAGGATTTTAAAGATTAACATGCAGCTAAAACAAATGTTTTTCTTTTGGAATTGTTGGATAAACAATTGGAAAAAAACGTGGAACTTTGTTTTTGTACAAAGATGCAGCAAGATTATTGTATGCACAAAGAAGGAAAGATTCAGCACTACCCACAATGAAAGCATGGTTGGTGAAGATGGTGGAACTTGCTGAAATGCCTAAATTGACTTCTTTTCAGAAAAAAAAAAATCTACATTTTTTTTTGGCTAATAAGAAATCTTATAGAGTTTTTACATGAAACATTAAAAATGAAAATGAGTTAGCAGTCAGAAGCTACTTCTTTGCATCTTTCTTTTCTATTTTATTTTTATTCTTTCTTACACTTTTAGATTTTGCTTGGATTTCTTTACTTTTTCTTTTCTTTTGTTACTTTTTATTAGTTTGTATTACTTTTATATTCTTTTAAAAATATTATGTATGTATCTATCTTTCTATCTATATCTATCTATCTATCTATCTATCTATCTATCTATCTATCTATCTATCTATCATCTACCTATCTACCTATCATCTATCTATCTTTGTGTGAGCAGGGCTATGGAAATTTGGGGCCCCATTTTTTATAATTATCCAAAGTTGTTTAGACATTGTGAATTGACATTTCTTTCTCTTAACCAAACACTTGCCTATTCATCTCAGAACACACAATGCCCGTCAAATGAAAAGTTATGATGGAGAACTTTGAATTCCATACAGTTTAGGATGTTGATTTTAAAAGATTCTCTCTTCAATTGACTTCCAGAAATGTTCTACATGAGGAGGCTGGAGCGAGAAGGCTAGTCCCCTTTCTAGATATATTGAAGGCTAGAAGAGGGTTTAAGTTGTACAAACATAAGAAGATACTTAAAGATAAAAAAGCTGTTTTTATTGTTAAGTAATCTCAAATTATGATTTTGAGTTGCCACAACAGAGAACAACCAAATGGCCTCAGTTAGTTTAAATCATTTCAGCTTCAGATTAACTTTGTAATCATGTAAGCCAATTAGGGAGTAAAACATGTACAATTGTGTCTGTAATTGTTGAGCTATTTTCCAAAGTAAATACTATAAGAATGCTTTAAAATGTTGGAATGCAGAATATCCCCAAATAATGCATTGCTAGTTCCAAAAGAAAGTAATTTGAACAATGACTAATAATTTAAATCACTACATAACCACCAGCCATGTATAAAGAGTAGTGTTTCAAGTGGTTAGCATTCAACAGTTTAAAAATATCCACAAATTCATTTATTGGCTGCTAACACTACCTGGACAGAGGGCAGTGTTATTGCAAACCCTTGATTCTCTTAAAGGGCCGCTGCAGTGTGTCCCGTAAGGTGATACACAAGTTCTGGTTCGCACCTGCGACCCTTGACCACAAGTAACTGAACATGTACTCCACTGGGCCCACTCTTCAGCACCAGATTCACCTGTATTCAAGACAATAAGCAAACATGAATACAATCATGAGTACAGAGCTAGAGCTATACTTAAAAAAAACCAAAACAAGCAAAGAATAGTTAAGAAACAATTTTTTAAAAATGGATAACATATTTTTAAAATAAAAGCTCACCTAACATAAGCATTTTTGGAAAAAAGTATACAATGAGTTAGAAAGTAAGTATATTTCCAAGGTAAAAGGAAAACCAGGTAACGAGTGGCATTAAGGAACAAGCAAACCTAATCTTGTGTGTTAATTGATTTTTATAATATTTGTTCTGTTTCCCAAATTGTAACGAAACAAAATGAAAGTGGAATCTTAGAGTTCTTCATCTCTTTGTCAAAGAAACTGAGTGAGGCAATTTCTCCCAAAATTTTGTGAGATGGGAAAATATGACTTTTATTGCCAATTGTGAGTGACAACAGGAACAGTTGTTTTACTTTCTTGGGATGAGAAAGAATAACTTTCTCTCCCTGTTAGGACTAATATTAGCAAAATGATGACTGCCCACCATTTTGTATCAACCAATTGCCAAAGGCTTAGCATCATTCTGACAGGGTCAGGCACATCTTGGAGAAATTTCCAAGAATAGTCTGCAGAGCAGTTTTCCCCAATGGGGTAGTGAGAAAAAAAAAAGGGGGGGAATCTATTTTTCCCATAAAAGCTTGCTTACTTATATAGAAATCTTATTTATATAGCTTTCCATCTCACAAGCAAGTAACTCTAGGTGGCATTGAATAAGTTTGAGAAATGTTGGCTTACGCATGAATGACTAAATGTGTCAGCCATGTTCAAGCGTAAAACTATTAGATACAAAAGAATGACTAAATTATAACTTGTTCCTTCAGTGTGAAGGTGCAGTGTTAACAGAAAGAGACTTTTCTTAAATTTAAAATATTCAATATGTGCTTTACTTTCAGACATAGTTACTTTTTTTCTATTAAAAAGTCCCTACTCCAAACTTTATAATGCGGGAAGGGCAAGGCTATTGAATAGTAACAGCAAGAGAAGGCCAAGATGTTACGAGTGTGCTGCTGTGCTTCAGATTCAATTCTGAAAAGGTCCTTTAGTTCGCACGAGGATGGAAATGTAGTACCTACATCATTCCTGGGGTTCATGTGGCAGCTATGCGATCCCAGGGAAAAATGTGACTGCATTAAAGGGTGGTAGGCAGATAAAGCACTTTTTTTCTGAACTGTTTCTGAAGCCGTGCACATCCATTGTTCTTTTCCTCTACTATGCTTCTGAATCCTGCCCAGTTTCAAATAAATACAAATCATTCTACTCTTGTGCCCTAAAAAAGGCCACACAACACTTTTTTTTAGACCAGGGGTTAAGCTAAACCAAGGGCTAAGCTCTAAGTTTTTGAATGGCATGTAATGAGCCACATTCTAAAAAATGGGCAGGCCAAAGCAAAGGAGTAGATATATTCAGAACAAAACTTAATATGATGAAATATAAATCCACCTTAAATTAAATTAAAGTATGATAATGTTCCATATACTGAACATTGTCTTCTTTTGTCACCTTAAAAAATAAAACTCAGTAATGATATTTGAAGGGGGGGGCTTGCTTTCCTGGATAATTACAAAGATACAGATAGTCACTGCTCTTATCAAGTTTCTGACTTTCCACAGAAACAAAAAAAAATGTAAATAATGTCTTTCTTTTATGCTTTTACATAAGAAGACATTCAGTTCATCCATATTATCTTAAAATCAACTTAAGGATAAAATCTAGCAGCCCTATTCATTTCATTAAAAAGTGGAGTGAGAATAATGTGAATCACTTGTGTTTATTTATTTTCTGGCTTTGGCTTGATACATGAAATCTTATATGATTATGCTTAGCCTACTTCTTAACTTTTCAAACAGTAAATAGCCTAGTTCTTAATTTTTCAAACAGGAAATAATGCTGAAACCATTAAAGAGTTGCTAGGGTTTTCCCAAGCAAGAAACATATAGTATTTTTCTCTTTCTCTTTGCCTTTTCCCTCCCTTCCTTCCTTCCTTCCTTCCTTCCTTCCTTCCTTCCTTCCTTCCTTCCGCCTGACTTCCTCTTCCTCAAGAATAGGAATGAATGTTTTCCATTCCTATCAAGTGAGACATGTAGAATAGGATTCTGTAGTTAAAACATTGAGATGGAAACAAAACTTTACACTATCTATAGCGCATATCTATCTATCTACTCTGAAATATATTAACCAACATTCTAGTAAGACATCTCTAGGTTCAATATGTCTATCTGCACAGAAATCCTAGTGCTAAATATGTTACCTTTTTTTTAAAGTTTCACATTTGGGAATGAGACTTTGGCAATGTGGTTTCCAAAATATAACATGACTAAGGGATTTTTACTTACTGCATTAGTTGTGACAAGTGATGATGAATAGATTGATTGACAAAATGAAATGTATCTAACTAGAAGAAAACAGCCATTATCATAGATATGACTGACATTAGGTTAAAAAGCAGGGAGATGGATAAGGCATCTCAAATATGGAATGTCTATGGAGATTCTCAGTCATCCAGGTCATGGTGGTCCCAAAGATGCTTTTTTCAAGAGGCAACTGGACTTTCTTGTTTTTCTTTGAAGACGCTTTGCTTGAAGACGATCCAAGAAGCTTCTTCAGCTTCAGAAGCGAAACGTCTTCAAAGAAAAACAAGAAAGTCCAGTTGCCTCTTGAAAAAGCACATTTGGGTCAAATATGGAATGGGATTTTAAATGTTTGCACAGATTCATTCCTATCTCATTGTCTGCTTCAGACATGTAAGTAAGTGACAAGAGCCTTCAAGAGGGGCATATATATCTCCCCTGAACAGCCTTCAGGAGCACATATATCTCTCTGTGCCCCTCTACATTCAAAACTGGGAGCAGGAAAGGAGGGTACTATGGCTGTGTAATGTGACTATGTAATATGATGTAGTGAGGGAAAGGTATGCTCATCTGCTTCACAAAGATTACGAACTGTTAACAAAACAGTGAAAAAATTGTTAAAGATTTTTCTTATTCAAGATTAGTAGAACGAGCTAACAGCGCTCTGTTGTGGGTAAAAAAAAAACATTTAAGGTGTGGTAAATGCTGAGAGTGTTAGGCTATAAACAGTATGTAACTTTAGGAGGGATTTGAATTTTGACACATGCAACTGACTTATGAACTACTCTGCTGCCTGTGGAAGTTTTTCTAGGTCTGCCTTCAAATACTTCACTGATGGTTGTGAGACCATATTGAACGATATAAGCTGAGATGCAGAAGCCTGATTGGAAAGGAAAATTTGGATAATTGAGGGCATCACTCCATTTTGGAGTTTTCTCCATCCTTCTCTGACCTTGGTCCAGGGGTGGGCTTTAAACATTTTAGCAAGGGGTTCTCTGCCCGGTTGCTGTGTGGGTGTGGCCATGATGGGTGTGGCCTAGTCAGCCTCCTGCACCATAGCAGGGATGGTGGGGGTGGTTTGCAATCCCCGGGCACCGGAGGCTTTCCTTGAGCCTCTGGGAGGGAGAAAACGGCCTCCCCAAGCTCTGGAGCCAGAAACGGGGCCGTTTCTGGCCTTCCTGAACTTCTATTAGGCTTATTTTTCACCTTCCCCGAGCCTCCGCATGTGCCCTGCACTTACCTACATCCAAAACGGGCTGTGTGGGGACTCCTGGGAGGGGCGGGGTGGGGTGGGCAGGGCCAGCAAGGAGTGGGATTTTGGGGTTCTCCGCACTGCACAGAATCTTAGCTAGAGGTTTTCCCGAACCTCTGCAAACCCCCAGCAGCCCACCCCTGCCTTGGTCCCATAGCTTAACGATTCAATGGAGTCTCTATGTATGGCTTTGTGTACTGGGATAAAATCTGCTAGAAAAGGATAGCACGAGAGGTTCACATCTACCAGTTACATTTGTACCTTAAATCAGGAAGCAATCTGTTGGTTTGTTATTGAACAATTCTAGGATTCATTAGATTGTGGAACAGGTTTTTGTCTGTGGCAAGTCAGAGGGGAACAAGCATATGACTGCACTATTCATGTCTCAGGAGACAGCTTTCCACATTGCATACACCCCAGTACTGAGCTTCGTGCACTCCATTGAATTAATTGGTCCTTACTGTCAACTGGGATTTAACTTTCACTCATGACTTGCTCATGGTAATGGGACTGAAGATTAAGAAAGGCCCTCTTCTCTGTGTCTAATTAAAAGTTATATTAGAAGTATTTTCTTGACTGCACCAAGCCTATATAACTAAGATATGAAGAGATGGCAGCTGTGGAATACATACATATTATTTTTATAATACATGCCAGAATTCTAGAAGCATATGCTGCCATTAGTCGTGCCTGAGCAAGTCCCACACATTTTATTGAATGTACTCAATCCTTTTTAAAAAGAGGTACATGTAGCACATAACCCACTGAGTTAATTATATCTTTTCCCCAAGGGTTTGAATAGATGCTGGACATTTAGGAGGGCCCTGTGGAATCAGATCATCGTACAATGATTTGCATTAAAACATCAGAAGGTTTAATTTTTGCTTACATTCAGCATGAATTTATTTTGTCTGGAGCAGATTCCTAAGGTCTTGCTACCATCCTAAACACTAAGAGTGATCTGAACTATAAACAAATGCAAAAGTACATTTAAAAAGTAGCCAAAGTAAAATGTATTGAGTAAAATGGCCCACAAATCTATATCACACTTACCTGGATGATAATTTTAAGTTCTTAATACCTAAAGAGAGGATAATATGGAGGAAAGCATAACTCATGGTTGGAGAATATATACAGTCATGCTGCAGACATGTGCTGTTAGGGCCAATGAACACTTGTGGACTTTTTTTTTTTTTTTTGAAACATGGTGATGATCAAATTCTTCCTCCAATGAACATCTAGCACCTTCATTTAATATATTCCCCACCCACCCTCCCCTCTTCACTGAAACTAAAATAAAAAAAGATACATGATAGGGATACTTCATTATGAACCCACATCAGTCCATGTCAGTGCAGGAAAAGGGTCTTTTCTTGTTTTGAAGGGTATACATTTATTTGAGAATAAAAATCCTACAGCTTCTTCATCTACAAAGGCTTCTCAGTTCCCTTCAATGGAAAAGGCAGGACACATATGGGAAAAACTAGTCTTCCATTCTCCACTGAAGTGAAAGTGTAGCTGCCTGAAAGCAGAAAAACTGTGCATTCACTAGAGAAAAGCACAAAATGTATTCTGGATGGAGGTGTTTCAATGTCAGCAGTGCAGAGTAACCAGACACATGAATGCAGCATAAAAATAAGGGTTTTTTTCCCCTTAAAATATCTCTTACATCAACATTTGACTTTTCCCCCATTTTTAATTATTTTTTGTTTAAAACAGAGAAATGAGTTTATAGATATCACAGCAAATCCATTTTGAACAATTTTAACTGCTACTCATAAATAAATATACGATATGACAAATAATCAGAGTTTATCACCTAGGCTTTTTAAAAAAAAAATACATAAAGGAAAATAAACAAGGAATAACTTCAAGTCACAGAAACAAATGAATGCCGTTTCTAATTCCGCTTATCAATCTTATTAATTTCCGAGCAAGTACAGATAAATGTAGATGCATGTTAGGAGTCTAATAATGCTACTGAAGGCAATACAACATTAATTTTATCACAAGAAAAGAAAAGGTTCACAGTGAATCACATATGCAATGATCAGTACTAAAAGAAAATCAGAATGGAAAAAGGAAGAGATGGACTAGATATTAGTAACTGTGTTGAAAAACAAGAGCATAATATTTTGCAATATGAATTAACCTACAATATGCAAGCTACAAGTGGCTTTGCTCTATGTTAGACAAGTGGTTTTTGTTTGAAAAGGCTGATATAAGATACTTGATTATCAAATCAGGATTTTGGAAAATGCTTTGGGGAGTGGATTTAAATATTCATTTTCGTTGAATCATAAGAACATTTACTCAGAAGGGCAGATGTATTTATAGTGTTGTTCTCTATGGATCACTGTAAGTGTGTTGAAGTACGTGCTTGAGCATTATTTCATCTACAGGCTACTATACTGTAGCAGACAATCGCACCAGTGATGGGTTTCAATTTTTTTTTACTACCGGTTTTGTGAGCGTGGCGTGGCTTTGTGAGCGTGGCTTTGTGGGTGTGGCAGAGGAAGGATACTATAAAATCTCCATCCCCACCCCACTCCAGGGGTAAACTACTATAAAATCTCCATTCCCTTCCCACTCCAGGGGAAGGTTACTGCAAAATCCCCATTTCCTCCCGATCAGCTGGGACTCAGGAGGCAGAGAATAGATGGGGATGGGGCCAGTCAGAGGTGGTATTTACCGGTTCTCCAAACTACTCAAAATTTCTGCTACCGGTTCTCCAGAACTGGTCAGAACCTGCTGAAACCCACCTCTGAATCACACCATTTTATGGTAATTCTGTGAAAATACAAATCAGACTGAGAAACCTTGGGTCATAAGAAGCTGGCATTATTTGGCTGCTTGAATGTCCAGAAAGGCCAAGTCCTGTTGTGATTGCAAAAGAGAGATGTGATTAATGTTCTTTTTTAAAAAATCAAGATAGTACATTTTCAGCGATGAATGGAGCCTCAATTGGATCAAAGCTAAACACTTTAAAAATAATCATATAAGGTTTTTAACTATAATAAAAGCAATGGGAGTTAAATTGAATTGGACTGGATCATATCAATATCTTCCAATTCAAATTATCAGCTTTTCAGGTCTTAAATTATAGTTCAAAGAACCCTGTTTTCTATCTGATGAGATTAAGAGATTATCAAAAATTATTTATATCAGAAGTTTATTTGATAGAATCATGACTGTCTACACACAGAGCCTCTACAGCATAGAAAACATTTCACACTGAAATGTACTGTAGGACACATGAAAGAATATTACACAAATGTGTGTAGAGGGCAGATCACATGATTCCTTCCTCCAATATCAGAACATCAATATGGAGAAAATTTATCTCAACGGCCTTTTGTTTGCTGTTGCTTTATTTGTGTCCATGGCCTCACTGCACAAAACTCAACCATACTGGAGAAGTAACTGTGTGCAGAAGAAGCTCTATATTGGCCAGATTATGGTGTTATTTTGTGCTTGATGTTTGAGTGACCTGATGATATGTATTGGGCCATAAAATATGTCTGCATTTAGGAAAATCAAATGGCTAGATGAAATGAAAACTGCCTTGTATTAGGTTTCATCATTGTCCACCTAATTTAATGACTGGTAGGGAGTAGCTTCTCAAGATTTGAGGGTAAATAAATTTCCAGCACTGTTTGGAAATGCTGAGGGTTAAACTGGATATACTGCTGCTTGTGAAGGAGGTGCTCTGTCACTTGAGCACAGCTTGTAATTTTTAATCATACCTCATTTCCTAATATGAATTTATAGTCACTGTGCTTAAGAAATGCGGTATTCATTCTTGTTGAATTGTTAATCATAGGGAAAGGCAGGCTAAAATCTTTTGCACATTTTTCTCTATGTCCCATTAGTAAAAACGGGGTTGATTTCTAAATAGACATGGGTACACCATAATACAAAATCTAAGTAGAGTATTGAGACACTTACTTGTGCTATTTATTGAACGTAATTTGTCACCCAGTAATCTGAACCTGAAGCTGTGAAACCTCTGCCATTCACTCTACATATTTAGATCTTCTTTTTTAAACACACACATATACACACTAAATTATATACTTTTTTCTGAATGTGTGATTAACTATGGTTTTTAAACTTAATACAACTTTCATATTAAAATAAATATGTTTTAAAAGCTTCATATTGATTGCATGTGTATTGGACACTTGTCTAAGTCTTAGATCTTTTATTTTATGAGTTTTAACTGGTGGTTAAAAAAAATAAGAATAAATGGCTTTTTAAAAGTATCAGCTTAGAAAACTGACAAATATGCAGCAAAAGATTATGGAGACATGCAGTGGCATTGCTAAAATTAAACACAGTAAGGAGATAAAAGGTAATTAATGTATTACCAGTTTGTGCCATAAATTTAGCAGCATCAGCTTGTTCCTGAGGGACCCTTTTTTCATGAACAGATCGAGGTCGCTGACTTTTAATTGTATGATCTCCCATCATTCCAAATTCTAAAGACAGAATAAAGGTTTATGAAAGCTTGTGCGTAGACATTTCTCAAAAGGTCACATACTATCTCATGCAGTTGTTTGACAAAAATACCTGAAGAGGGCATTAGTAGAACATCAGTTTACAAGGCCTGTTTTTGCTTTGTTTTATATTGTTTTAAATGCCTCAACCTGTGTTTGGAAAGAGGTTTTAATCTAAAACTTGTTTAAAGTTATTTTTTAAAATATATATATATATATATATATATAAATATTTCAGAATTGTGATACATTAAAAAAAAACAGCCGTTGTACAAAATCAGTTATTTAGGCTACATACATTATATTAAGAAATAATATTTAAATCAGTGCAAACCACACCAGAAAATTACCACCAACGCATTAAGTGGTGTCATTCTGCAATAAAGCTTGGTGCTTCTTGCTGAGATCAATGGTTTTCCTGCTTAAGCCACCCAACCAGTGGAATGGCAAAGAAACTTTCTTGAAAGCAGTACAAATGTATTGTAATGACGGGGCCAAAATGCCTTGTGTAATCTGGATGCAAAAGCAGCTGTGTTTTACTTTCATTGCTTCAGAAAACTCTCTGCTACAAAAGACATGGAAGTCCCTGGGCTTTTTCCTCCCTGCTGTTCATTCTAAAACAGAATCACTCTTTGATTTTAATAGGGGGGAAAAGCCTATCTTAAAATCTTCTGCATGGAAATCATGAAATGCTATTTAAAACACAAGACAGCACTGCTAATTTTTCTCAGTGCCTTTGGCAAATCACTTAATCTCCAGCAGTTTAAACCTAATTTTTTTTTATTGCTCATAACTATGTGCCTCAACACCTTTAAAGTGCAGCATCACAACATATGGCATTATTTTAGAAATAGAAACAACTGTTCTGGCAGAATTAGCATCAGTGTGACAGGCTCTACTGTTCATTGCCACAAGTAGCATACACAGATTTCATAACCCAGAAACAGGCAGGCCTACACCAGTAATTGAGCTAAACCAAAATTTCCTTGTTCTTTTTCTTAATCTTCTTTTATGAACCAGGTAACCAGGAGCCTCAGTAGCGCAGTGGTTAGAATGCAGTATAGCAGTCTGACTCTGCCCATTGCCAGCAGTTCGATTCTGACCGGCTTAAGGTTGACTCAGCCTTCCATCCTTCCAAGGTTGGTAAAATGAGGACACAGATTGCTGAAGGCAATATGCTGGATCTGTAAACCACTTAGAGAGAGCTTTAAAGCACTATGGAGCAGTATATAAGTGCTATTGCTATTTATATCAAGTGAGCAAGTTTGGTTAAGACATCAGGCCAGAAACCAGAAGACTATGGGTTCTAGTTTAGCTTTAGGAATGACTGACCAGATGAGTGACCTTAGACTAGTCCCTCTCTCTTAGTCCTAGGCAAACAACTTCCAAAATCTTTCCAAGAAAACTGCAGGGATTTGCCAAGACAATAGCTAAGTCAAATATTGACTAGAAGGCACAATCCTGCCCCTTCCCCCCATATATTTATAATTGCTTTCATGCTAAAGTCTAGGAGTATGAAAGGATACACATCTAGACACATATATACATACACAGGGAATTCCACTTGAATGTATATTACTTTTCAAAATTTAGTAAGAATGAACTGTGATGATAGCAGCAACTGTATCGTCATTGCAGCTACTGCACATGGAATTCTCATTTTAAGATACCTGTTCTTGTGAAAACTATAATGCCTCCTGTTAGTAGAGGACAGTTATGAAATTCATGTTGCCTGGGAATTTTCTTCTCTTCTTATATAGGCAGTCCTCAACTTATGATCCCAATTGGAACTGGAACTTCCATCGCTAAGCAATGTGTTGCACCCAAGCTATATGACCTTTTAGCCATAGTTATTTAAGCCAATCATGCAGTTGTTAAGCAAATCCAGCTTCCCCCATTGACTTTGCTTGTCGGAAGACTCCTGGGAATGTTGTAATTGGCAATCACATGACACTGGGAAGATGCAGTCAGTGTAAATGCATGGTAGTTCCCAAGCATCCAAATTTTGATTATGCAACCTTAGGGATGCTGGAATGGCTGTATGTGCAAGGACCAGTTATAACTCACTCTTTTCTGCGCTGTTGTCATTTTGAATGGTTGGGAGACAAACACAGCCTGCATTGACGTAATTTTCTTGTCAAATATTAGGATAATTTCTTAAAATTGTTTAAATGTTCAATTTCATTCTTTAAAATAGAATGATAATAAAGAGAGAATTGCAAAGAGAGCATAAAATGTATTATTTAAAAGATGTTTGATATTTGAGTAACTTGTGAAATTAGAATTAGTCAAAAGTTATTTGAGTCAAAAATGACTCAAATAACAAATAACAATAACAGAGTTGGAAGGGACCTTGGAGGTCTTCTAGTCCAACCCCCTGCTTAGGCAGGAAACCCTGCACCACTTCAGACAAATGGTTATCCAATCTCTTCTTAAAAACTTCCAGTGCTGGAGCATTCACAACTTCTAGAGGCAAGTTGTTCCACTGATTAATTGCTCTAATAGTTAGGAAATTTTTCCATGGTTCTAGGTTGCTTCTCTCCTTGATTAGTTTCCACCCATTGCTTCTTGTGCTACTTTCAGGTGCTTTGGAGAATAACTTGACTCCCTCTTCTTTGTGGCAGCCCCTGAGTTATTGGAACACTGCTATCATGTCTCCCCTAGTCCTTCTTTTCATTAAAATAGACATACCCAGTTCCTACAACCGTTCTTCATATGTTTTAACTTCCAGTTCACTAATCACCTTTGTTGCTCTTCTCTGCACTCTTTCTAGAGTCTCCACATCTTTTTTTACATGGTGGTGACCAAAACTGGATGCAGTATTCCAAATGTGGTCTTACCAAGGCATTATAAAGTGGTATTAACACTTCACATGATCTTGATTCTATCGCTCTGTTTATGCAGCCCAGAACTGTGTTGGCTTTTTTGGCAGCTGCAGTACACTGCTGGCTCATATTTAAATGGTTGTCCACTAGGATTCCAAGATCCCTCTCACAGTTACTACTATTGAGCGAGGTACCACATATACTGTACCTGTGCATTTTGTTTTTTTGCCTAAATGTAAAACCTTACTTTTTTCACCATTGAATTTCATTTTGTTAGATAGCGGCCAATGTTCAAGTCTGTCAAGATCCTTCTGTATCTTAAGCCTATCTTCCGGAGTGTTGGCTATTCCTGCTAGCTTGGTGTTGTTTGCAGATTTTATGAGTTCCCCATCTATCCCCTCGTCCAAATCATTGATGAAGATGTTGAAGAGTACTAGGCCTAAAACAGAGCCTTGGGGTACCCCACTGCATACCTCCCTCCAGTAGTGGGTTTCAAGTTCGGTCACTACTGGTTCACTCGTGAGCGCATGCGCACACTCACGTGACACTTCTGCACATGCACAGAGACGTCCGGGCGGTGGGTGGAGCCACCACTACTGGTTCGCCCACCACTGCTTCCCTCCATGTAGATGCAGTTCCATTGAGGACTACATTCCATTCCAACTCATTCCAATTATCTGTGTCTAAACCCATAAATAATAATAATCTGCCAAGGGTTAGTACTACTCTGCAATTGGTTTCAAGTTCTGGTAGTCAATCAACCCAATCTCCAGCTGCAAAATATGGTGACTTCACCATATTAGAATAGTCTATTAGAACAGTCTCCATTTTTGTCACTATCGTTTCTTGCTTTCTGACAGTTCCTCTGCGCACAGAGAATGAGCAGTCAGTAGTTACTTTTCCATCAAGTGGAAAAAGCAGCAAAAAAGGAACAGGCCATACCTCTCACCCTATTGGTTCTGTCTGAAGTAACCACCAGCACCAGCACCACCACCACCACCAACAACAACAACAACAAGGCAGTTGATAAGAGTCTATGATAATAACTTTATTGTTGTCGACACTGAATCTTTCCTAAACTGGACCCTTAGAGGAAAGGAAGCAGAAATCTCAATCCCATTCAAGACTCTTAAAATCCTGAGATAGGAGTAAGGGTCTTTTCTGATTGCCTGAACTCCCAGCTAGTTCTTGAATTGTCCTTCCTGTTTCTCTTGGTAGAAGTAAAAATAGCAAGCCAGTGCTTTGCTAGCTTATCTAAGACCATTTTAGAGGCACAAGCAAGTCAATGTTGTTCCAGGAAAGACAGAGTTTCTAATTACTGTTTAAATTTCCAGTTCTGAGTAGGGAACAATAACTTTCTTGAGGTTCCATGTGCCAACGAACCTAGCCACAACTTTAAGCCTTTCAAAAACTGGACAATTTACAGCAATATATGCAAGCTTCATGCAAAAGAGTGCAGGCTTAATGGAAAGAAAGCAAACGTTCAGTTGATCAGAGAGCAACTAGAATGATTGGGTGGGAGTAGAAATTTCTTGAATTTCACCTGTTTTCACTGGGCAACAGCAATATTTTCAGAGCCAATGTTTGCAACAATGATATGGCTTTTCTGCAGGAAGAGCTTCCAGAAGCCTTGAGGAAAACACCATGTGGAATCATTCCTGATGAGAATAGGCCTTTATATAACCGCACAATCTTTTGTTAGGGTGCCACAAGACTATGCTTGTAGATACCAAACCTATCTGCAAATCATCTGATATGTTGCCGTTGGCACATGTTGCTGTCCTTTTATTGTTAAGTTTCATTTCACCATAAAGGCACCTGATGCTCTTTTTGACCCATTTCCTTTCTTCTGCAGTTTTCTAATTCATTTCTGTCATACAACGTGAAAGTGCATAAAATGGCTAGAATCATTTGCAGCTTCTTCTCATTTCCCAACGTTTCATCTCAAGTGTTCTCTCATCTCTGTATTTTGCTGGTAGAATTTTGTTTTCATCACTAGATGGCAGGAGATGCCTTAACTTGAACTGCAAATGAGCTGCAGTAAAATCAGAATCTAACTACTCTCCTCCCCACCTGCCTTTCTCTATCTCTCCTTCTTTCCCTGTTCCAGAAAATCAAATCCAAAAAATTAGCAGCAGAATATTCTCTTGAGGAGAG